TCACCGCGGAGCAATCTCGCCGCGCTACGTCGCCCTTCTCGCCATAAAGCTTCTCGCCGCGGAGCAATCTCGCCGCGCTACGTCGCCCTTCTCGCTGTAAAGCTTCCCGCCGCGGAGCAATCTCGTCGCGCTACGTCGCCCTTCTCGCCGTAAAGCTTCTCGCCGTGAAGCTTCTCTCCGCCGTTCCCGCCCTTCCCACCGTAAATCTTCTTGCCGTAAAGCGTCGTCGAAGGACGGTTCTTCTGCTTCAGCGGGGTCGTCGTCCTTCTACCCTGCACGTCTGCGTCGTCGTCTTCTGCCCTGCCGTTGAGGATTCTTCCTCGTCGTCGCCGCGCCGCAGCACATCGCTGGGAGATAGGAACGGTGGTCGGCGAAGCGCTTCCAAGTGTTGAAAGGAGGGGCAAAAGGTTGTGACCACAGATCCGCGGCCAGCATGTCGACGCGAGGGAGCGCCCGTGGCACGAAGCGCGATGCCGCAGCCGCCGTCGGGCTTGCGCAGGCGAAAGGTCGGTGCCATATCCCGAAATCGAAGAAGGTGCGCTCCGGTGAAGCGTCAGGAAACGTGCCTGCTCGTGGTTCCGAAGGTTGGGCGACCGCAGCGGAAATGGAGTCTGACGACGACTTCGGGATGGAGGAACCGCAGGCGGAGGCGACGGCATCCGCGGTGCGACAAAGCGCTTGCCAGCGAGCTTCTGATCACAGCGCGTCGAAGAGGATGCTCTCCCCTGCACCCGAGGCGCAGCAGGCGCGTGGCCGCGATGCAAGGAAAGACAAGGCTGCCGTCATCGTGGCGGAAGGCGATGATGACGAGACGTTGGAAAGACGTCGCCAGCGCAATCTTGCACAAGACTCCGCAGCGCCGTTGATGACTACACGCCTCCCGGAAAAGGAAGTCGTGCCAGAGCGACGCGCAATCGAGGGCGAGGCGGCAGGTGCTGCGGGCGGGACCGCCACAGTGAACTCGGCCCCCGTGGCGACGGCGAGAGAGGAGGCAGCAGCTGCGACGACGGCGAGAGAGGACGCGCGTGGCGAGAAGACAATCGATCGGGAGGGCGGCGATGTTGGTCCGAGCCGGGTGCGCAAGGAAACCATGAGCAGAGAGCTCATCGATCGCGCCCTGCTCTGGGTGGATGACAAAGCGTTCTGGAGGACGGGGGAGGGGCGGAGATTGTACAACATCATCCACGAGACGCGGGAATACTTCGTCGCCATCGCCAGCGGCCTTCCAGCGACTACCGTCTCTCGCAGCGTCATCCTGCCGAAGTCGAGCACCAGGGTAGCAAGGATCTCCGACCCATCGCAGCTGCAGCAAGCGATCACCCGTGCGGCGAAAGTGGAGAACGTGGCTTTGCGCGTCCTGCATGGCTGGGTTTTCAACTCCGGCAACCGCGCAAGGGGGTACAACCTGGCTTACCAGTATGCACTGGAGTCCGTAGCAACGAACATCGCGCGTGCTATGTGGTACGCCGAGGACTGGTCCAACGTCGTCAGCGCGCCCATCTGCGGCCACACGATAGATCTCAACATGGACTTGCTACTGTGGTTCGCTGGCGCCCATATCAATGACAGACCCGACGACGACGACATGGCGGCATACCAGGAGTCGACCGCCATCTGCATCGCCCAAACATTCCGCGCGGCGGTGCAGATGGGAGCGCACATTGACGGCGATTTCATCTCCTACGACCGTCTTTGTCGGGTGGCTGACTGCTTCAGACTTCTGTTGGCGGCGGCAATGTGGATAATGCACATGGCGGGAGACGACTTCCGCAGCCACTACGAGGCGTTCTACTCCGTCAACTTGCTGGCCAGGCCTACACTGGTCGCGTCCATGCATCGCTCCTTCGACCATAGACGATCCGTCGTCCGCGCCTCGAAAGCCGTCACCGAGAGGCTCGGGAAGGCGAACCCCACGTTTGGCGAGCACCCCAACTACATCCCTCAATGGGCACCCTGCGGCATTACTTTCGGCCACGACGCCAGCGTAACGGGTCCGGAGGATTGCAAGAGGCTTGATTGGTTGGGTTCGGGCCCCACCGATGACGACGGCGACGACGACAAGAAAGAAGGCGTGTAGCGGGTGGGGCGGCGGTTGTTATAGTCCTCGAACATGTCCACGTGGCACATCGACGTGAGGGGCTTCACCGCGGTTGGACTGTTGCGCAGAGAGAGAGAGAGAGAGAGAGAGAGAGAGAGAAGCCAAACAGGGCTGTTGAGAGTGGTTGCGTAGGTGGAAGTGGCTGGGCGTTATGGGCGTCGCATGGAACTGGGACGGTGCGTGCTGCGCGGCTGTTTAGTGCGGGGGTAGGAGGGATTCCCCCGGAGCGTCGTCGGTGGCGGAGTTGTATAGTGTGTTGGCCGTGGCACGACAACGGGTTCACTGGACTCGATCGTGCATGTGGAGGTTAGTGTAGGTGTTTAGCTTGTCTGTCGTTGTAGCCGATGACCGCTTCATTACTTCGAAACGTGTTTTGTGTTTCTATCATCGCAGTTACCTGCGAAAGAACTTCATAGCGCTTGCAGCGCACACTTTTTATCCTGTGACGTGTCCCTTCTTCTCGTGTCTTTGGCGGAATGATTGCACGATGACCCCAAACA